AGAGAGAGAGAGAGAGAGAGAGAGAGAGAGAGAGAGAGAGAGAGAGAGAGAGAGAGAGAGAGAGTGTGAGGGGAACAACCGGATCAACACACTCGTACTCCTAAGCAGACGGTCCCCCAGTTCAGTTTTCCCATCCCCGCCCGGACGAATACATACACACATACATGCATGCAATCAACAAACTGTGACAGGACATCTAATCATCCATGGACCTTCGACATCACTCGTGCGCACCACCAGCTCCCATCTCTCGGGGCTTCACACACACGACATGCATAGACAAAGCAGCAATGGAGATAAAAGCGAGTCCTTCTTGTACACAAAAATTTCAATTAACTGCCGCCCCCAGGCGCAGCCTTCAAAACTCCCCAAGACCACCAACCACCATAGCCACAAGGCCCTGCCGCGGCCGACGTCCAATCCCCACCACTGCTCCGTCCCTCCGACTGCTTCGCCCCGAGACTACCGCGGGTCCACCCCACGTCGTCACTCCGCCCGTCCTTGGGCTCGTCGAGCCTGTTCGGCGCTGCAGACTCTCGCGCATAGCTCGCGCAGCATTGCAGCCGAGATCAATAAGAGAGAGAGGATAGGGTTGCGCAAATTTATAGCGCGGGAGGCGGCGGGTTGTCAGCGCGAGGTGCGGGCAGTGCAGGTTGTAGATGAGCAGGACAGGAGGAAGGTGGGGAGTTAGAGGGTTCGACCCGCGGGATGGCACTGTCCTACGTGATTGGGGTGTCCCTTCAAGTGGCGCGCGGTTTCCCGCTCTCCACATTGATCTGAGCATCCCAACTACGCAGCCAATCACTTCCCGGGGTAAGGATCGAGCTGGACGGAGGGGAAGACGAAGAGTCCGTCATGGGAAAATGCGCGCAGCAAGAAGGGAAGATGGCGCGAGGAGGCAAAGCAAGAAACAGGGGTGCGAGACGCGCGAAGAAATCAGAGCTTGGGCGCACGCGCAAAAATTCAAAAAGTCCCAACCGTACCCGTTTCTTGGTTTTCATACCGCAGCCGCTATTCGCCCACGAGAGTTATTAACCGAACAAAATGAAAAGGCCGTTTCAAAAAGAAAACAAAAGCAAAAAGAAAGAAAACCCCTTTCTATCCGCACCCGTACTTCGGGGCTTCCGCGGGATTTTTCCCCAGGGATACGGCAAGCCGCGCGGTACGGATCTGAGCTTATCACTGGTGGGCTTCTATTATTCAGTACATCGACGACAGACGACTTGTTGTTGTTGTTTTTTCTTTTTTTTTTTCTTTAACACTTCACCTTGGGTGGTGTTAGGGGTGCTGATATGAACAGACACCGCTAGCACCCCTAGACAGGCTCCATCTATTGGTGGGGAGCATCACCTGCTGGAAACCGGGTCCAGCGTCCCTTACATTTGAAAAGAAAAACATGAGATGTCGTGCGATAGCCTGCTGGAAACCAGGTCCAGCGTCCCATTGCTTTGTATCCTATCTCACTCAAAACAAAACCCCTTGACCAAGGGCCCAGCAGGGTCACTGGGGGGCACCAGTGGTCCCTGCCTGTTCCCTAGTCCACCTTCCAGCTGGAAAACGGGTCCAGCGTCCCAGCGAGGTCCAGCAGGGCTGAGGGGGGCACCAGCAGTTCCTTAATGTTCCTCAGCCCATCTTCCTGGTCATGCTATCATGCTATCCCACGCTACTGAGCCCTACTTATCCTTCTTATCCTTCTGAGCATTTCTGAGCCTTTCTGAACCTATTCTGAACCTAAACTGAACCTTTCTGAATCTTTCTGAAACTTTCTGAATCATTCTGACTATAAACTGAATGAGCTTGATGAACTGAATGAACAGAATAAACTAAATGAACTAAATGAACTGAATGGACAGAATGCAACTGAATGCAACTGAATGCAACTGAATGAACTGAGTGAGTTAACTGGACTGAGTGAATGGATTGAATTGGCTGAATTAGAGTACAGAGGGAATGTGTCCCAATGTATCCGAATTTTTGTGTACTGTCGTCCTGTCGTCCCGGTTCATGCCATTTGCAGTACTTCCACCAAGGACAACGGGTGGGGGGGGAAGGGATCTGCGAAGTCCTGGG